CGGTTCGGATCCCACATATGAGGGCCAGTGACACTGCCCTCCACAGCTAAGATGCTGAACAACAGCTCAACCTGGAGCTGGGTTGCCATGAGTTGCCGGCGACGGCGTAGGCTGTAGCACTTGTGGCAGTGGGTTGCCATGGGCGACCGTACATAGCCAGCAGCCAGCGTGAGCAGCCAGCAGCCGCAGTGAGCGGCCGATCTGCCATGCCCAGGAAGAGCGCAATGTTGGTGCCAACTTGGGCCAGTGAAGCGACGTCCTCCACAGCTACATTGAAGAACAAAATGACAGCAGCTTGTCTGTTCCCCTTCCCCCAATTCTCCAGCACTGTTCCCATTCCCCCCAACTCCCCAATAAAAAAATCTTTAAAAAAAAAAAAGACTATAAAAAATTGCAGCAAAGCAGTAGAAACAGAGGATAATTGAAGGCCCATAATGGTGGAGCAATAGAGAAGGCAGCAAGTTACCCACTGTTAGTAAGTGACCAGATTACCTGGTTATCAGACCTGCTTTGTATCTTGATTACTATTCTCAGTCCCAACACTGATATTCTCATGTTTTTTACTTTCTAATTTATCCTTACATTAGTTAAGATAAATTGAGAATGGGTAAATACAAGCAAACTATACGGCAGTTCAGATGCATGGAGTAGCTATTTTATTTATATGTCCATATCTCAAAAAAGCAAATTGTCAAATGATATTTACATATGATACAAAATGTAAAAACATGCTAATACAATAGTATAGCTTGTTTATGGATAGGTACATAAGTAGTAATGCATAAATTATACTGTAATAGTGCTAAATTCCTGGAAATTCTCCCTGTGGGGTGGGTAGAGGGAGATGAGACTGGGGAGGGGCACATGGGGACTACAGTGTTAGCTATCGATCTTTTCTTGGGAGAAAGTCCACGCACAATGGGTGTGCTTGTTTTGATGCCCCTGGGCAGGGGAGTCATGCTTGCTTTGGCTTCGCACGTCAGATCTGGAATTTGCTCTGGGACTTGGTGTGCTTTGTGCACATGGGGGTGTGGGAGCCAGGGTGTTATACCTCCAGGCACCTCCTCCGCACGTGTGAGTGCTGGACGCTGGTCAGGAAGCCTGCCCACCTCCTAACTTGCTGGTATCTGTGACTCAGTTTACCCTGAAGGTCAGGGATGAGAGGTGGTTTGTCCAGATGCTGGTTTCCGAGACTGGAACCTGTTTCTTAGTAACACTGTGGACCTGGATACCTCTCAGGGGTAGGGGGCCAGGAGCACATTTGGTTTTTTATTTTTCCTTCCTGCTTAAGTTCTCAGAGCACTGCATGTACCCTACTTCTGGACATCCATATAACGTGTGATGGGTAGGTTTTGAGCCCCTGTCAATAGAGGCACTGGAGGCAGAAGCTGAGGGAGCTGTGAGGGGATCTGTCAGAATCTCTGTGGTGAAGTGGCTTCCATTTCATCCTGGTTAGGCCTCCTCTGTCATGGTGGGGAGGCCTTTGGGAATCCTTGGGTTGAGTCCATGTCTGTTGCCCTCACAGCCATTGGCTCTGCTCTCTGCTGTGGGCTGGGTCAGGGGGAGCAGATGAACTGAAAGGTTGTCATAGGGGCCCAGTTCACTCTGGTACTCTCTGTGCCTGATGAGTCAAGCTCGCTTCAACTGTGAGGACATTTTCTCTTTCCTGTAGGTCACCTGCATTTTTGGGAGCTTGTCTAAGTGGCATCCTTGAAGAAGGAGCCTGGGTGGCTTGAGAGGCTCATCTGGTGGCCCAGCCTTCTGGAACGTGCGTTCCTGCCTGTGATGGCAGGCTGCCCCAGACTCCCTCCAGCTGTGAGGCAGAGTCGCTGGGAAGAGAGACCCCAGGACTGGCTCCAGACACTATTTTTCCACAAATTCTGGGAGACCTCTGGCAAGTCTCTGGATTTCAGCTTTCTCATGTCTAGAGTGGAACTGATGTCTGAAGATTGCTCCCTAATCTAAATGGGAAATAGGATAGTGTTGTGCTTAAAGAGAAGTCTCAAACTGGCAGCCTTTGAGTGACATCTGGCCCTCTGACATGTATTGTTTGGCTTGCATGGTGTTTTTAAAAATCTTGAATGAGTTGCCAATATTTAAAAATTTGGAGATTGCATATATAAAGGGAGTTTCTACCTTTTCTTGAAAAGCAGGAAGCTGTGGTGGTGGTAGGTCCCTGCTGCCAGAGAACACCCATGGTGGAGATGCATGGCATCTGCCCTGTTGTTTAGGGCGGCCCATGCCTCTGAGGCTGGCAGCCATTTTGTTCATTTATGTACGTGCCTGATGCTGAAGATATTTGAGCAAAAGCACAGGCTTTGGAGCCCCCCAGGCTCAGTTTTCTCATCTCTAAAATGGGCACCTCCTCACAGGATGCTGTATGAGGATCTCATGTAAAATGCTTGGCTCAGTGCCTGGCTGTTTTTTATTGTCAGTATCATTGTCACAATTATAATACACTTGACAGGCTGTCCTAGTGGAATTCAAATTGGAATAGGAAGTCTGGCAACACGTGATGGTCGATGATGAGATTCACTCCCTGCCAATGCAGTCTGAGGCCTGGCTTAATGTTCATGGGTGGTTCGTCTGTGGGAAGGGGCTCTGTGGTGGAAGGTGGCTGTTTCAGCAGAGCATTATCTCTTGTGGGGTTTAGATAGAAGTGACAGTCCCCAGGTGCCCAGATAAGGAGGCTGTGCAGGAGAACATGGTTTGGGGTCACATTCCTGAGTCACTGGAGGCCTGTCGGGTGGGGGGTGTAGAGCCTCAGAAATGCAGGTGTTACTGAAGAGACCTCATTAGCACCCACTGGCTACAGAGGCTGGGACATCTGGTTACTCACACTTAAAAACTCCCACATTGTCCTTTACATGGTCCCACCCTGCTCTGCTGCTTCTACAGATCCACAAAGCCCTCAGAGTACCCCTTCCCTGACACCTGGCTTCCGCATCCTGGGTTTCTCAGGACACAGAGGCTGTGATGAGCCTTGTCCAGAGGCCAGATCAAGACCAAGGGCTTGCTTTGCAGCAGGAGGGATTTCAACTAGACAGAGGGAAGAACTTCCTCACAGTGAGGTGATTGGACATTGGATATATTCCTGTGGGAGACTGTATAAGCCAACCTCCTCTTTGTCCCTCTCTTCCCATCAGCTACTTCAGTGAGGGCTGAATCCTGTGGGTGGTGAATCCAGAGCAGTTCAGATGGCAGGTCCTGGTCAGCCCCGACTATCACTCTCTCTTTTTCATTTAAAAATCAACCCTAGCCTCACTCGGCATCACCAGGAGGGGGCTCCTTTCTTGGCTGGTTTCCTTAGTCAAGTTTGACAAGGGGCGGGGTGCTGACAGACACACAAGTGAACTGTCTGAATCCATAGCCCTACCTGGAATAGAAAAGCATCTCCACTGAGGCTTCAGACCGAGGCTTAGTCAAAGGCAGCAGCTTCTGCAGGTGAGTTTCCTCAGTCAGCATAGGGCATGCTACTGGTTCCCCCACCCCCCATACACCCCCGTTTAGCTGAGTTGAGGTCCAGAATAACCTGGCTGGTGCTGGGAATCTGTTGGATCTACCTGGTTGTGTCTTTGCCTGGAAGTGTTCCTGCATCTATGGGAGGATGAAGGAAGCTAAGAGAAGACAGCCCATCTGCCTGGATAGGAGTTCTGGAAATCCTTGCTTGCTCTGCAGTAATTGGAGGTGCTCATTTGGTTCCAAACCACCTTGGTCTCCATGGAGATGTCTGGAACCAATCTGCACCTTTCAGATCTCTGGCCTCAAAGCAGACAACTTGCCTACCATTGCAGGCAGGTAAAATTCTCCATAGGCCCCATTGATTCAAATCAGTACTCCTTCAAGACAATCATTATGCCTCACTTGAGTGCTGGGAGGAGGGAGGTCTCCAGAATGCCTCTGGACCAGCTCTGCCCCTTTGGCTTGGTGCTTAAACCAAGACATACCGCACCTCCTGCCCCCAGCCCAGCATAAACTTTTGACAATCAATGCCTGCCACCCCCTGCCCTAGTACCCACCCAGCCCCCACTCACTCCCTCTCCTGGCTTTAGCCCAGCTCTCCCCCCTTGATTGTGACGTCTCCAATGTGGCCCTCATCCCCAGGCCTACCTGAGGTTCATGTCCCCTTTCAGGGCCAGACTGAAGATGTTGGACAGGTTTCCCCCAGGCGAACAGCCGCAGATCAGGATGGCCAGTGCCTCAACGTTGTTCAACTGGAAGACCTTACCAAGTGCAAAGGCAGTGAGGGGCATTATGCCATACTGTGCCACCAGGGCAATGGCCAGCCCCCTAGGCTTCCAGAAGTGAGCCTTGATCTTGCTGAACTCCATGGTGCAGCCTAGTGAGAGCATCACAATGAGCAGCATGGCCACCAGGATGATGCTCAGTGCCAGGTCGGTGGGGCGCTTCCCAAAGTTGGGTGGCAGGGTGAAGTTGAGTGAGGCTGACACATTGTGGGCTTCCATCCTGCTGTGTGGCAGCAGAAGGCCGAGAGACCTAGCGCACCCCGGCTGGCCTGCTGACTCCCTTCCCTGCTCAGTCCTCACTGGGCACCTTCTTCAATCACCTTCCAGGTCAGAGTTTCAGGACAAAGGGAGCTGGAGCGGGTCTGATATGTCCTACTCTGGCAGACGGCAGAGACTAGAATGCAAATAGAAGGATTATGCAACTGGCTATGGCCCTGAATGGGAGAGAGCCCAGGAGTTTATCTGCCCGGCCTGCCCTATTTCTTCTAAATTAACCTTTTTGGGTGCCACTCATATTCCTTTACCACTTTGTTGCTGCTGGGACAAAAAAGCTTATTTCTTTCCTTTGCCTCACCCTGAGCCCTCCCACAGACAGTCTGTTCCTGAGGCCCAGTTCAGGGCCTGCTGCAGTCCAGGCCCAGCCGTTCTTATCCTCTGCTCAGTCTTTGAGGTCTTACGAGGGTGTCCTCCCCATGCCCAGCGGGTCACTTTCATCTTCCTCCAAACCTTTGGGAGTGAAAAGAGCCAAGTGTTACCTTTCCTTCCGGGATATAGGTAGCATAACCTAAGGGGTGTGGGACAACCTAGAGGCAGGTGTGTCACTGGCCTCCAGCAGGAGATGTGTCCATGACTCTTTTCCTGGGAGATGAGAGGTGCCGTGTTCTTCTCTCCTGTGCTGGGGATACCTTTGTCTATCCTAAAACGAGGATGGTGTGGGTCCCAGGGGAGAACACACTCACCCCCAGAGGGAAAAGCCTATGGCGATGGCCGAGGGGCTCTCGGGAAGCATGCAGTCCCCAAAGGGCAGCTTTGAGGGTACTCTGGCTGGGAAGGTTTGCTTGTGTTCAGTGCTCCCCCTTGAGCAGCCTGGGGAGGTCCCATAGCTTGGAAAACTTGCTGAACAGGAAGCAGGGATACACACGCTTTTCTTTCCAATTTCCTGTTAGCTCTATTTTTGCCCTATGTCTGTCTGGGCAAGTAGTAGCATTAGAAAGAGAGGCAAAGATTAGCATGCCTCGGGCAATCGTGCAGTGTGTGCATGCCCTCCTGAGCGTCCGTCCTCCTATCCCAGCGGCAGGATAGTACCTTCAGAGGTGGGAGACAAGGGAGCAGCCTTCAGAAACACACTTGCCTCTTGGCTGGGTTGGAACCCACCAGGCCTGGGTGGGTTTATATTTACTGAAACAGGAGATTAGGCTTTTTGTGTGGGACTCCAAAGGGCAGGATAAGGACCCTGGTATGAAGCATTGTGGGGTGGGGACGGGGATGGATTTTGGCTTGGTATGAGGAACCACCTAAAAATGAGCACTCTCCAACAACAGCCCCAGGGGCCTCTGGAATCCTGCATAGATAAGGGTTGGGTGACAGGAATCTCCACAAGGGGCCACATTGAGGGTTAAGTGGATGAGCAGTAGTCACAGGAAGCAGCTTGTGTCTAGCTGATGGAAGGTTGGAAGCCTGGGAGGCTACCCTGGCCCTCTCTGTGGGAGCCTCTTGTATGCAAACTAGCCCATTGGATAATGAGTAATACACAGCATCAAATTAAATCCACTATGAAGTTAAAGAGGAGAAGAGTAGCAAAAGTTTCCAACAACTGAAGAATACTCACCAGGAAAACACTGTCACAGAGCAGGTGAAAACTGTCCAAACACTATGCCATTGAATTTAAAAAAGTGAATGCAACTGCTTCAATGAAAGAGGACCACTAAACAGAAATACAAGAACAAAAATAAAAAAATTTTAAAACAAATCACCATCTTGGAACCCCTAATATAATAGCTGAACAAGGTAAAGATTGTCAATATATGCTAAAACCTTTGGGTAAAAAGTAACTGGGGAACAGGATATTCATGTGATGATAAAGTATTCACCATATAGTTTAATAATTATAGAGTAAGATAGGTACATTTACATTGGCAAAACCTGGCAGTTATCCACTTTAACCAAGTAATCAAACTTGGAATTATTAATAGTGAGACAACCTGAAATCATGTGCCTCCTGATGGAGTGCAATATGAAATGCACAATATAATTATAGTTAAAAAGTTTACTCTGAATCTCATCAAACCTTTTACCTAACTGGAAGTTTATTGGAAATACAAAAGTTAGTAAAACAAATGAAAAATAGAGAACTAATCAGACAAATCTAGAATATAGGACATTTTACAAAATAACTGGCACATACTCTTAAACCAGTAAATGTCATAACAAAAGTTGGGGGTCTGTTCTACATTAAAAGAATAAACAAGCATAACCAGATGAAATGAATGTATGAGTGGATACTGGATTGAAAAGATAATTAAAAACATTAAAAAAAAAGTTTGTAGTTGGGGAAACTTGAATAAGGACTATATATATTCAATGATATTATGGAATTATTAAATTGATATTGTGGTTATTCTAGGACAATGTTCTCATTTTAGGGGATGTAAGCTGATGTCTTAATGAATGAAGTGTCATGATATCTGCAATTTATTTTAAAATGGTTTGGGAAAATGTGTTTGTGTATGTGTATGTGTATATCTGCTTAAAGCCAAAGCAGATATGGCACAATGATAACAGTTGGTGAAACCATGTGAAGAATATATGGATACTCATTGTGTTATTCTTCCAATATGTTGGTCAGTTTGCAATTTTTCAAAATAAACAGTTGAAGAGAAAAAGAACACAGGGAAGAGATGGTGAGCTAATAGGAGAAAATGAAGCATGGCTGGCAGAACTCAGGAAAAAGGAAGTATCAGAGCGCTAAAGGCGAAATAGAAGGAATACAAATAATAGACAATTAAGAAAAGCATTGTGCTCAAAGTGCTAAGAGAAAATAACTGTCAACCTTGAATATGTTTCAAAGGTGAGGTTGAACAGATGCAATTTCAGATAAAAATTGAAAACATTTAAAACTAACATATCCTCTCCTAAGGACATTCTAAATATGTTCTTTAGAAACAAAGAAAATAATCCCAGAAGGAAACTGTAAGATTCAAGTAGGAAGGGTGAGCAAAGAAACATGTGAACATGAAGATACATTAAATAAGCATTGATGGTATAAAAAAAAAAAAAGGAAAAGCATTTTAAGGGACATAGAAGAGAGACGTGAGAAAGGCAAACAAAATAGAATGGCAATAAAGAGTTAAAAAAAGAGTAGAGCGGGCCAGCCTAGTGGCGCGTTGGTTAGGAGTTGCCTTGGGACGCCAGCTCTGAGCAGTAAGGCCCCGGTTTGGATCCCACATGAGGGCCAGTGACGCTGCACCCTCTACAGCTAAGATGGTGAGCAACAGCTCGACCTGGAGCGGGGCTGCCGTGAGTCGCTGACGACAGCGTAGGCTGCAGTGGCGCTGGCTGGCAGCGGGCATGAGCTTTTGTGAGCTGCCGAGAGTCGTTGTGAGCGGCCGTCCAATAGCCCAGGAGTGACTGCCTCACCCGGGAAAAGCGCTATGATAATACCAACGTGGGCCAGTGAAGCGACGTCCTCCACAACTAGGCTGAAGAACAAAAGGACAGCAACTTGTCTGTTCCCCTTCCCCGATTTCCCAATAAAATCTTTAAAAAAAAAAAAAAAGTAGAGAGAAAACGATAGACATAGAATATAGGGAAAGAAGATTCAATATACATAATTGGAGTCTCTGTAGAAGAAATCCAAAACAATGAAACAGATTAAATACAAATATGATTTTCTGAAATAAAGAAGACTTTAATTTATACCATGTATCAGAAAAAAATCCAGAAGAGTCAACCTACAGATATATCTTAGTAAATTTCTTAGACTTCAAAGATGACCAAGGAAGCAAAATGATCAAGTCACTTATAGGGAAGAAAAAATCGGACTGGCCTCAGAGTTCTCTACGGCAACATTCAATTCCAGATAATGATGACGCAATCCTTCAAAGATGTTCCAGGAAAAAAAAAGTGTTATCCAAGGATTTCATATCTAGCTAAATTACCATTCAAATATAAAGATTATAGACAGTCTTGAACATGAAAGAATTCAGAGAATGTTAATTCTATGAACCTTTCTTGAGGAAACTACCAGTGGATAAATGTCAATCAACCAAGATAATTTTAAAAAATTATGGAAAGCGCTGGCCAAGTGGCTCAATTGGTTAAGAGCTTGCTCAAGAGTGTGAGCTCTGAGCAACAGCGGTTCGATTCCCGGCCCGAGATGAGCTGCTGCTGAGCTGCCAACAGGTGGCAGGATGGCTCAGCTAAAAAAATAATAATAATAAAAATAAATAAATAAAATAAAAAATTATGGGAAAAATACTGGCAGCAAGGTTTGTATACAATTACTGTGGACTAAAACTAAAATAATTCTACACGTTAGAGTGATTGAGAAGGATGTAAAAATGATGTGTCCTGACACTATATAAGCAATGAACAAATATCGATAGAGGAAGGGGGAAAGTAGGTGAGAGGGAAAGTTTACTAATTGCTACATCTGTAATAACAGGGGGTCAAAAAACGTTCCTCAACGCTGACAAACCAAGTAACAAGCACTTTTAAAATACAAAGATTAACTCTGAGAAAGATATTATTGACTAAAGTAGGGTAGAAGAGGCGAGGACGGGAAGAAGAGGAAATGCGCTTACTTTTTTATTGTTCATAGTAAGAAACTAATAGACATTTGTTAAATAATAGAAAACTTGAGGTATTATTTAAAGTTTTCATTATAAAAGTAACAACCAGAGCAAAAATAAAAACCTTTTTAAATTTGAGAAGAATTATAGCAACAAAGACTACATAGTGAAAGCTTTCTGAAAACGATAAAAACAGAATGTATAATATTAATAGAACTAAGGCTAACATATGCAGCATATAAAAAATGTTGAAATAGGCTTAACTCACCTATTAAAAGAAACAAAGATTTTCAGACTCTTCCCTAGGCAAAACCCACCTTTATACTCTTACTCACCTATTAAAAGGAAAAAAGATTTTCACTCTTCCCTAGGCAAAACCTACCTTTATACTGTTATCAAGCAGATGATCCATCTATGGCAAAATATTTTCTGAAAGGTTGAAAATCAAAGTATGTACAAAGATATATGAAGCAAATGCAAAGAAAAGAAAGCACAGGTCATAATCTTAACATCACGTAAGGTGAAGATGAAAAAAGTCACTTTAAAATGCTCAAAGATGCAATTCACAATGAGAATGAAAACGTTATGTATCAAGTAACAAAGCACAATATTCATAAAGCTAAAGTTACAGGA